AAATTATAAAAGAAAAGTTCTGACCAAAATTCTTCCAAATCAAAAAATGCTCGTTTCCAACCATTTGTCAATTTAACATGGATTGACCCACATACATAGAAACGCAACAAAGAAACTCGAAAGCAACAAACAAGCTCGCAATAGAAACAAAGCCGAGAACAAACTGATTCGGTTAATTGTAAAATTATCCAAGTTGCGCGCGTATTTTACTGTAGCAACGTACATACATACTTAAGAAACAGCGGCTGCAATTCGTAACAGCAAGCAGGATGTTGTTAATGCGAAAAGAAAAGTGAGGAGTTAGTGGTAGTCAAGAACTTAGATTGATAGCGCCGGACTGTTAGATATGCAGCTGATGGTAGGCGAAAAGAAATTACTATCAACGGGTCAGCGGAGCGGACGAACTTGACGTTGCGAACGGAGTCCACATGTGGCTAATGAATAATGGAATTAATGAGCGGCAGCACAGACCCACCCACACTCACTCCAATGCTTAGCAACACACACGCCTCAATTGCTTTTCGCAAACTTGAAGCGACGGCATCATTTGTGCTAAAAGAGGATATTAATTGTGTTGTCTTGCCAACGCATGCTCCGAGGAGGAGGAGGAGTGTGTGTATGTGCCGGGGGAGGGGGCGAGTCTGTCTTGTGCTACCAGATGAGGCAAACGCGCGTTAGGCGCAATCAAATTCAACACTATCATCGGCGTTTGAAATGCGAATGTTAAAGTTCGTACAGTTCGAAAGTGGAAGGCGCACAAGCATATCGAATGGTGCGGTTGCAGCCAAACCTTTTCTCGCCGCTGACAACCCCATCTTCGTTTTATGCGCATTTGTGGCAGAAATTTGTTCAGCCTCGTTGGAAGCTTTTCTTAGCTGACAATTAATGATGGGCTTTTAATTAGCCATATGCTATACATACATACATATATACGCATATGTATGAGTATATGAGTGCTGCAATCTAGACTTTATTTTGCTTCGAAGACCTCGGCGCCTAAGCAAAGTTGTAGACCAATGGCTTGAGGTCTCGTAAGCCGCCTAAAACATCTCACTTTACATATTCTGCCATTTAGTGTGACTTTAAACCTTCTTAGCGTAAACCATTAATTTCTGTACATACATACATACATATGTAAATTGGCTTGTGCGCATATGTTTTTGCCGAAGGGCTAAAAGCCTTACAACTTCGTCATGCTTCCGTTAGAAGTGAAGTTTTTCTTGTGAGCTTGCTATGCCTTCGCTTCGCTTGGCGCACATCCGCCTGCGCGCTTACATTCATTAACTTGTGCGGCGGCTGCATTCACAGAAGTTGTTCCACTCTGTGTTAATGTTATTGACCCTCATGTGACTTAGTAGTTTTGTCTCGTGTTGCTTAGGAATTGTGTTCACTCCTTTTTCTTTCTGTTTTTTCTCGCTTTGCTGCGTATTTTCCGCATTCAGTTGCCAGCCTCCGACTTGTTTCCTTGTTACTTTTCTATTTGCATAAATGTTTGTTCGCCTTGTTTTCTTTCTGCAGTCTGCATCCTTCACGAAGTTTTAGCGTGCTTAGCCTTTCTTATCTTACTGTGCTTTGTCTCTAGTTGGATTTGTCTTGACTTAACTTGAAGGTATTAGAGTTATAAGCTTATCCTGTGTGAGGTAGTAATTTTTGCAAGGCTGCACATTGTTTTGAGAGCTAGATATACAGTAAGAAAGTATCAGTATTTTCTGCCATAGAACACAAGTAACTATAGGCTTGCGGTCGGTTTCTCAGCTCTTGCGATGTGCAGTTCCGGCCAGATTTTTTGGAAAACTTATTTTTAAACAATTTCGTGCGCCAACAAAGGATTCGAGGGCATATTTCTCTTCTGTGCGTAATATTGAAACTACGCCATTTTTTGAAAGGGACAACAAGCATTTTGAAACCAAAGTTAGGTAGTAATCGAAATTTTCCAAATACAAATAAGGGGTAAAATGGTTACACTAACATTGAAATAACATTAGGTTACAGTAGTTGACACTCTACCCCACCCTGGAACCCCCTTGTATTCTGAGTCTAATTCTGCCGTCCATAATTTTTCGACCTGCCGTTCGGATCCAGCGTAAAATAGACTGCTTGTACACATTAGAACATCTAGTAGCCCACTAGAGGTTAGAGAATAAGCCAAACTAGTGTGAAAGATGTGAACCTTTGTAGCTTTCTTTTGTCAGCGATAAGTATTAAGGAACTCAGAAGGTCTTAATATGGTTTAATTAACATTGACAGTTAAGCGAAGTAAAAGTTGTTAAGAAAATAATCATTTTTCCTTTGTTTTGTAAAAGTCATTAACTATTCCATTTATTTTATTTTTTTTGTTTATCACACAATTATGCCAATTGCTTTTCTCCTTATCAACACTTTCGAACGAAATTATCACCCCCAGCTGCATTTTTCTTAAATACGTTCAAGGAGAAAACATAGTTCGAAAGAATAAATACAAATTAAAGAACCTCGTTACTTGCGCTAAATGGTTGCAAACAAATGCATTTGAACTGGTGGCTCTCATTGTGTCGACGATGCGCATCCTTTGCATAACCATTAAGTCGCCAACAACTTTCTTTTTTATAACTTGCAGCAGGAAAAAGTGCACAGTTGCCTTGCAGTAAACACCTGATTGCGATAAATGATTGTTTCTTAGTTGTAGGTTACCGCCCACAGGACTAGTGCCGATAAACGCAGCGTGGCAACAGCGACAATGTTGTAATTTTTCGCTCTTCTCTCCAAGTTGTAGTTATCAACAACTTGGCGCGTAGCTTTCTTTGAAATCCACTTAGTTGGTTTGCGTCTCAGTCTCAAGTTGTTACATGTCGCTCACTTGGTTTCCACTTTCAAGCTTTGTTTCTTTCGCCTGGTGGTTTTTTTTTTTTGCTTCTTGCAATCCTTCGCATTTGCGCTTCAATTCTAAATTGTCGCTACTTTACTTGTGGCTATGTGTGTAGGCATTTTTTTTTGTGTTTGTCTTTTTATTTCGCTTTATTTATTTCACTGCTTTGCTTTCGAGCTTCCAAGTACTCGCGACTTTATTAGTGTCATTAAGAAGTGTGCACCACTCGCTCCTTACCACTAAACAGACGTTTACAATGCAGTGCAACTAAGAACTCGCTGGTATTTAGTGCAACAGTTCCACTTACTCCGCCTGCTGGAGTGGTATTAGTGCTTCAGGTAATAGTGTAGCGTAGCGTAGCTTGACTGTTACCTCAGCAGCATGGGGTTCTCCCTGAGTGTCCCTATTACGCCCTCGACCGCCGAGCTTCGTGCATTCCGTTTGAGTACCACCGACTCGGTGAGTAGGCTAGTCGTCGCAGAGGTGGGAGGCAGCACACCTTGCTGACAGTTGCTTTCGGGCAGTCAGCATGCGGCTAAGACTTTTTAATTGCAACGCTGTTGTGGCAAACTGGCGTAGTTAGTGTGCTGCTATGGGTAGATTGGTGGTGGCTACTCGTTCTTCAGGCGAAACTTTGCTTTGCCTTTTTCCATCGCAGTTTTTTTTCCTTTAGTGAGCATTTTTACAATTGCTTCAAGCTAAACCGTTTGTGGTTTATTGAGTAGAGAAAAATTCTTTCCGCTCGCAGCCAGGCAATATTTTATTTTACATTAGGCATGCGGCAACTTAAGTAGCTGTAATTCGAGTGATATAGGGAGGTCTTGATATGGAATTATAAATTTTTTTTTTCAATTTAATAAACTGGGAAATATTGTCTTCATTTTTTTAATTTAAAAAATATGATCATAATCGATATCTACCTTCAAATTGGTATCGTAATCAAAAATTTAAGGAATCATTTTATAAGTAAAGTTTTTATCGATAATTAGAAGCGCTTTCATTCCAATTTATCGGAACCGTTGTAGGAATATATGACTTTATTGATTTTTAATATCAATGCAGACATTTCTTCCATTGTATTTATAATTTATCGATATTATGATTTATAAACTTAATCGATATTATGATTTACTTAAACCGGTTCTTTATTTCTGTCATTAAAAAAAATCGTATTCGATGATGTCATTGTCTTTGCAATCGGCATCAAAATCGACACTCTAAGCGTTCAGATTATCGAAAACGATATCGATACAGAAAATGTTATCGATCTCAAAATTTCTATCGACATCAGAATTTTCGCCATTATTAGCATTTTGCTTTGAATTATTTTTATTAAAGCGCTTATCGATATCGTCGACGTTGGTGTTTATTTATCGTTTACCTTTTCCGATATCAAAATTTTGATCGTTATCGACAACATTATTCTTTAAAATATGTCATTGTTATCATAAAACTTCTAGTCATCGGTTTCATATTTTTCGATATTTATTTTACAAAAATGTATTCAAATTGTTATACATATATCCCACTACCACAAATTTATTAAATTGAATAATTGGCTGCTTACATATGAATATCTAGCTGCACGCACCAGTGCCATTAGAATGATTTAGCTCCTCTTCTAACATGCGCGTGTCCATTCCTCCATTCCTCCCTCCCTAGCCCAATACTCATTTTTATTCATCATTTTTTACTTACTTATCATCCCACACTAATGCCTCTCTTTATCTTTTCTTTATTGTCCAATTAACGCCCATTGCTTAGCAATTCTCGCGTTTCATTTCTGTTTATTAGCAGAGATTTCCCTTTTTTCTTGGCATTAATTAAGTTTACTCGTAGCCACTGCGTGCTTAATCAGTGCCGTTCATTGCCGCTGTGTGTCCTTTCATAAATTTCTTGTCTAATCATCAATGACGAACTCCCACGTCCGGCGCTAATCCATCCATGCGAAAAAATTCCAACTTCTCCATAATTTGTCTCTCGCCAACTTCCAACTCCTTCCAGTGGCCGCTGCATTCCTACACGTTTGCTTCTTTTCGCTTTCTAAATTCAATTACAACTTTTTGATTATCACTACCATCATCAAATGTATTCATGTTTATTAATATTTTCTTATTTCATTATTTTTTTTTTTTTTGTGTTTTTTTATTTGCAGATTTCCCGCGCGTTGATGTCGGTCCGGAAAATCCACTTCGTGTGGAACGTGATCGCACTGCCAAATTGGAATGTAATGTCGATGCGAAGCCGAAAGTGCCTAATGTACGTTGGACACGCGATGGCCGCTTCATTAGTTCCTCCCTGGTGCATACCATACATCGTGTTAGCTCGCAGGATGGTGGCAAATATACATGTTCAGCAGATAATGGACTCGGCAAGTCGGGCGAAAGTGTGCTCATACTTGATATACTGTATCCGCCCACCGTTGTAATAGAGTCGAAAACGCGTGAGGCTGAGGAAGGCGAAACGGTTAATATCCGTTGCAATGTGACCGCAAATCCATCGCCAATTACCGTCGAATGGCTGAAGGAGGGCTCACCCGAATTCCGTTACTCGGGCGAAGTGCTCACCCTGTCGTCGGTGCGTGCCGAACATGCAGGCAATTACATCTGTCGTGCTGTGAATATAATGGAATCTTATGGGCAAGAACGCAGTGAACGCGTTGGCAATTCCACGGTGGCATTGTTGGTGCGTCATCGCCCTGGTCAGGCATTCATAACACCGAACAAGCCGATTGTGCATGTGGGCAATGGTGTAACGCTCACCTGCTCAGCTAATCCGCCCGGTTGGCCAGTGCCACAGTATCGTTGGTTCCGCGACATGGACGGCGAGTTCTCTAGCACACAGAAGATATTGGCGCAAGGTCCACAGTACTCGATACCGAAAGCTCACTTGGGAAATGAGGGAAAATACCACTGTCATGCTGTAAATGAACTGGGAATCGGCAAGATGGCTACGATTGTGCTTGAGATCCATCAGCCGCCGCAGTTCCTCGCTAAACTGCAGCAGCACATGACTCGTCGGGTGGCCGACACAGACTACGCCGTCACGTGCAGCGCTAAAGGCAAGCCAGCGCCCAGCATACGCTGGCTCAAGGACGGCGTGGAAATCCTGCCTGAGCTCAATCTGTACGAAGTGAAAACAAATCCAGATCAGGGTCCCAACGGCATGGTGACCGTGCAAAGCATGCTGAAGTTCCGCGGCAAAGCGCGCCCCAACGGCAATCAGCTAGTGCCCGGCGATCGCGGCCTCTACACTTGTCTGTACGCGAACGAAGTGAACTCGGCCAACTCGAGCATGCAACTGCGCATCGAGCACGAGCCCATTGTGCTGCATCAGTACAACAAGGTGGCCTTCGATATACGCGAAACCGCCGAGGTTGTGTGCAAGGTGCAGGCCTACCCCAAACCCGAATTCCAATGGCAGTTCGGCAATAACCCCTCACCGCTTACAATGTCCTCCGATGGGCACTACGAAATTAGCACCACCACCGACAATAACGACATCTACACCTCGGTGCTGCGCATCAACTCGCTTACACACGCCGATTACGGTGAGTACACCTGCCGTGTGGTAAACTCACTGGACACAATACGCGCGCCCATACGCCTACAACAGAAAGGTCCACCCGAGAAGCCGACCAACACACGCGCCGTAGATGTGGGCTCCAATTATGTCACGCTCAGCTGGGATCCGGGCTTTGATGGTGGACTGAGCAACACCAAATTCTTTGTCAGCTATCGCCGCGTACCTATGCCGCGCGAGGAGCAACTGATACCCGACTGCGCCACAATCGCCACAAGCAACACTGATTGGTTGGAATTCGACTGTCAGCGTGACAATCCCTGCAAGGTCACCTCACTAGACCAGCATCAAAGCTATGCTTTCAAGGTGAATGCACTCAACACAAAAGGCAACTCGCCATACTCCAACGAAATAATGACCACCACTAAGGTGAGCAAAATTCCACCGCCTCTGCACGTCACCTACGATCCGAATACGCACACCTTGGGCATCAATGTGGGCGCCACCTGTCTGTCGCTGGTCGCCATTGTCGAGTCAATGGTGAACATGGACACACCGATGGCACAGTGGGAGGTTGTCGACACAGTGAGTTTGCAGCTTTCCGGCAATGGACCGACATTTAAGGAGACTGTGATTAATCGCTCCATACCGGCATATCGCAGTGGCGGCGGACGCTCGCTGGGGCACAATCACCTAAGTGGTCATGGCGGTGATGGTGATGGCGATGGCGATGATGACGATGATGATGTCGACATGAATACACTGGCATTGGAGGATGATAATAGACCGACAGTGCGTGTGAAACTATGCCTGCGGTCCAATCAGGAGCACTGCGGCAAGCACACCAATGCGGAAAGTAAGTACTATAGATACTATGTAGAGTACAGAGAAGGAGATAATTAAGGGGAAATGGCGGTTTTTTTGGGCAAAGTTTGTGTGTGTGCGCGTTGTGGCATGATGCGAGTACTTAATGTCTAGCGCATTTTATACTGGCGGGATTTTCACATGTGATGTGGTCAACACTTTTCGCTCATTTTGGGAATTCTTTCAATGCAGTCATGTGCCTGCCACTTGTTAACTCTTCAATTTTCGACTGGCATTTTGGAATTTCGATTAAAAATTGTGCACAATCGGGCGTTTGTTTATTCCATTGTCCGCTTTTTCGTTTGTGCGGGCATCCACTGGCTGGCTGACCGTGTGACTGCCATTTCCCTGTCATCAATCTACTTTAGGCAAACACGTATCGGCAAGCACATGCCAGTAGGTGGCGCTGGCTACATGCCCCCGAAAGTACTTATGTGCTGCCACAACTTTTGTATCCTTGACAGCATTTCGCATGTTGCCACACATCAGCGCGCCGATTTAATGGCGCACACACATTCGCAGCCATCCACAGCTGCCTTCAACTCGCTGACACTTATCAGTGGGGCTGCCAGTTTTTTCCTTCTACACACCTCGCCTCCGAGCGCCCTCAACTCATTCTCATTTCTCTACTTTTTCTTCTTCTTTGTTTTTTTTTTTTGCAGTTGGCCGCACGTACATCGCTGAGGCATCCGCCCTGGCCACACCCACCTTGATCGCCATAATCGTCTCTTGTATTGTATTCGCATTATTTGTCGGTTTATTGTTGATGTTCTGTCGTTGCAAACGCAATCAATCGAAAAAGAGTGCTGCCGCCAAGGATTACGAAATGGACTCGGTGCGTCCGTCGATTGTTGCTGCCCAGCAGAGTCAGCCGCCGCCGCCATACTATCCGGCAAGTGGACTCGATAACAAAGCACTTGAACATTCGATGGATCTCGCCTTGGGCATGGAGGACCAGAAGAGTGCACTTTACGCAACACAAAATGGCTATAGCTATCACCCGGGTAGTGGCGTTGGTGTTGGCGTTGGCGGCGGTGGTGGTGTTGGTGTTGGTGTTGGTGTTGGTATGCAGGGCCTAACGGGACACACGATGCCGGGAAATGAATGTAAGTACCTCGTAGTAGTTGCATTTGTGCGAGTAGTGTTTTGTAATTTTTTTTTTTTTGTTTTTTGCTGCAATTGTACTACGAGTAGGTATTTTGCTGACCGTTTTTATTGCTGCTGCTGCTGCTGCTGCTGCTGCTATTGTTGTTGTGCGTTCTACATGCTCGCTTATTTAGTTGCATATGCTGTTATTTTGCTCTCGCTGCCACCATCAATGCCATGTAGACTGCTATTGCATTGCTTTTTGTTTCAAGGACCATATCAGTGGCACCAGCAGCGGCGGCGGCCGAGGCAGAAATGGCTGCTATCGGCTCAACATTGATAAATATGTTGGCAATAACAGTTTGGATAGTTGTTAACACAAAGTGTGTGGTTTTCGTTATTGGTCAGAGTGTTGCCAGATTACTGGTGGAGTGCAGAATGATTTTTTAAGCTTTATCACCAAGCCATGTACGCCTCTGCAAGCTAACTGTTTTCTCAAGTAACCTGTAATTTTAAAGCTCACTTTATATTTAAAGGTTGGATTAAAAATAAAGCTTTTTGTAAAGTTAAGCATTTCTATTCTCGGTTTTTAATTGGTTTACATCCAAGAACATCCACATACGTAAAAATAGCAATGCTTAACTTTAGACAAAGCTTTAATACGTGAAAATCCAAGATTATAACTTTGTACAAAAATTATAAAAATTCTACAAAGTTGCACAACGACAATTTTCTAACCAGAAGTGTCTAGAAAATACCGTTGATTTTTGATTTTTTTTTCCGACGGCGCTACGAATTTTCTTCGATTCAATGTTAACACCGTCGGAAAAAAAATATTAAAAATCAACACGAATTCTTAACCTCTTGAAACTTACACTCTATTATTGGAATTTAATGGACTACAAAACTGCATACATTGAATTTTTCTAAAAGCAGTGAATAAAAGATTTATTGGGACATTTTTTTGAATTTCTCTACAAAGTTTGAAATGTGGATTTATATGGCGTTTAAGTATATTATTAACTAGACTTTAATAAAATATTAAATGAACGAAAAAAAATAATCAAAACATAAAATGTCCGCTTCAAAATTTTTTTACATGACTAGTATATGTATGCATGTAAATATATGTATTTTTATAACTCGTTTTCGCGAATAATTCGCTGTTAGCTTATACGGTTTTTTTATCAATGACTCACAAAGTCTATATTACTTCTCTGCTTTAAAAAATTTAGGTAGTAAAAAAAAAAATATTTTTTTCGTATTTTGGAAAATACAGCAGTATCTATTTTTGGAATACAAAAGAAAAAGTAGTATACAAAAGTAAATAATTGTCGAAGCCGAAAGTTACCCATGTAATAGACTTTTAAAATAAAACGGAATTTTCAATTGCATCCGGCCAACAATTCGGATAATTCAGAAAACTATTCGTAGCTAATAAATTGAAGGTTTCTAAATCGTACTAAAGACCCTGTAAAAGCCTGCACAAAATTCCCCGAAGTTACTAGATTTAGCGAGGGGCTCAGTGCTAATTGGGTATGGCTGTCTATACAGACGAATCTATCTATGTTTTTATTCAAACCGTTTATCGGTTTAAGCCGAGACCAGCGACTAAGTCAGTTGCCATTCTCCTTTTCAGATTCATTACTTCATTAAGTTCGGCAATTAGGCATTCGAGAATTGCTCCAAAGTTTTATCAATTCCTCTACCCATATTCGATAGCATACTTTTAGGCGCCAAAAAAAACCGCTAGGATATCTGTCGAATAGTTATGCGCCAAACCTCTTAATTTACTTAAAATAAAAAAAACCCATATTTTCCAAAACTCAATTCCAAATTTGGCAACCTTGTGCCTCGGTCGCGTATTTTTGCTTCTCTTTATCTCATAACCTTCAACGGAAAAGTGTTCAGCACAATGTTTGGCGATATTTCATTTGTTTTGCTGACACAGTGGTGGTCGCGAGTGGCGCAAAAGTGCGAATTCTTGCAGAGCAAAAACGAAAAACTGAAACATTGAACAAAAACACTATCGTGGAAACAGTTACAAAAATTAAAAAAAAAAAAAAACAATATATAAAATAAAAAATCACAACACCAACAAAAAACCCAAAATCCTTAACGCTGAGCGTATTCAGCGAGGAAGCGCAAGCATGCAATTGGAAGCAGCAACAAATCGATGAGTATACATCGATCAAGTGGTGGCAAGTGATGGACGCACGCGAATTCCACTTTGCAACAAACAGCCCAGTTACAGTTACAGCTACAACCAGCGGATTACAGATGGCGAGGCTCAGGGTCAAACGAAAGCCGTACAAATGAACTAAATTTGGAGGACATACACACACACACAAAAAAAATTTATACAAAAGAGTTTGACTCTGTGCGCTGATAGCCAAAGTGTTGTGGTGTAAGTCAATGGTAAATTTATAAATGTGAAAATATACATACACTCACTCAAACAAATGAATACGGTTTTTTTGAAAATTTTTCCAAATGTTTTTCGAGATCATTATTTTTTTTTCTATAAAAATATTGCGCAAGCTTTAACCAAAATCATATAAATCACAGTTTCAAATTTTATAAAAAATTTAAGAAAATTCAACAAAGTTTTACCAAATTTTCAACTCTTGAATCCGAATCTTAGAACAGTTTTGGTTGTGCAGTGTTATAGCCCATTCAGTTTTAGTCTAATGAAGTGCAACCGGCCGAAAAATCGCGTTTATTTTTGAGAATTTTTTTGGAGACTGATTTCGAGTTTTTTTTTATAACAATTGCAATTCACAAAAACTGGCTATGATTTTTTTACTGCGAACGGTCTACCGCATTTTATTTCATAAGAAATGCATGCTTGTATGGAAAAAAGTGCAAAAATCCGTCACCAAAAAAAATTCTCAAAAATCAACAGGATTTTTTTAGCCATTTGAAACTTGCACTTCATTAGACTAAAATTGTATAGCTCATAAAACTGCGCGCACAAAAGCTTTCTAAAGACTCACATTAAAAGGGTTGAAATTTTAGTGAAATTTTTTTTCTTAAATTTTTTTTAAAGTGAGAAGCTGTAACTTACATGGTTTTGGTGAAAGCTTGGAAAATATTTGTATAGTAAAATAACTTTAAAAAAATTAAATCGAAAAACATTAAAATATTAAGAAAAAATCAACACGTGGTCATTTGTTTGAGTCACTGTATATACTTTTGTATATGTACATATATGTGAATATGTCAAGGTAGCACATTTTTAACGCTTTCGCTTTTTCCATCTCTCACTCAGATTTGTGTGAGTTGGGTGGCGTTTAGGTGAAAATGTAAATGTAAAAATGGTTACCTGCGAAATTATCGCTTTGCCAACAACACGATATCCTACATACTTAGACACATACCCTGCACACCGCTTGTGACCAATGCGACTCACTTTTCATACCAGTTAAGGTGTTTGTGTCCTTTTGCGATTTTCGACACAGTGGCATTAGCGCACACATACAAACATATACTAGACTAGTATATTTTGTGCCCCATTCCACATTCGGTCGCAAATTACTCTGTTTTTTGGCAATTTGGCGACGAGGAGTGGCGAGTCAATGAGCCACAAACACGCCATGCCACAGCGACCACATCCACTGCGGTGGTTGGTGGTTTCGTGGAGAGCTGTTCATTGCGGTTACCAGCAAACACTACAACTAGGTACTGCATTCACACATTCCCATTAACCACCTCACAGAAGGACTCTACAGTTGCCCAAAATTGCATGCTTGCTGTTGTATGTATGTGTGTGTGTGTGTGTGTGTGTGGTTGTTTGTAAGGCTGTGTGCTCCATTATTAATTGCCACGATGGCCACTGTTTTGGGTTTAGGTCAAGTAGTAGCAGGCTAACCTAACCTTTTTATTTGCGCTGTAGCAGCAATTTAGATAGGACATTAGCATTTTGGCGATAATGCGATAGGTGCACCGCCCAAAGGTGCGTATTAAACACCTCTCGTGGTGGTGATGGCTTCCGGCAAGCTGGCGGATAAACAAATAATTGGGTATGGCTTACTCGTTTTCGTTAGTAAATAGTGATGGAAAGATTTCGAGGGATAGTGCTTCTGATTAGACGAAATTCTAATTTCACGCTGAGGAAATGAGCGAAATAGATAAGCATTTTGTGATGTGGGTGGATGAAAAGGAGTGGGGAATTGTGGCTAGTGGCAGATTGATGCATACACATACACATTGTTGTTGTTGCTATTTATAGTGAAACAAGAAGATAAAGAAGGATCTACTAGTTTTATAAATGTGAAAGTTTGTGATTTAGTTGTTGAGAATTTTTGTTGATCTTTCACGCTTAAACGACTGGGCATATGTATTTGTATGAAATTTGCCACACAGATGGGCTATAACCTGGTTTAACAAGTAGGATATTTTTGACGAGAGTCGCCACCTTTTTCAAAAGTCTAAATCAATTAATAAATAAGTAAAATAAAACACTACAACGAAAGGGGTTCCAGAAAGATTTATTGCGAAAATATTTTTTTAAGGGGTTGCCAACTGTTAAGAAAGTTAAAAATAATTTAATAATTTGCTCAATAAAATATCAAAACAATGTACTTGTCAAAGGAAATGCTGAAATGCTATTGATAAACTATTTGTTTAGAAAATGTTCTTTAAGAAAGTTGCCACCTGTTAAGAAAGTTAAAATAAATTTAAACAACAAGTCAAACTAAATACTTGAGTGAGTCTATCAAACGAGACAAGGTTAAAAAAATCTTTATTTCGAAAATATTTGTGAAGAGGGTTGCCATATTTTTTAAAGACCTATTAATCAATACGTATGCCAAACAAAACTGAACACCAAATATTTCGGACTATTTACCGGCGTTTACCGGAAAGCGACAATTAAAATTTCCAAGAACCGAGAGTGAATGTACGAGATTACGAAATTGTCGTTGATGATTAAATACTAGTTTAGGGAGGGAGTGGTAGCTGCAGCACTTGGCTTAACCCTTTGGAAAGTGTGGTTTGTTCTACGGGCCACTGGACAGCA